ACTGACGTTTTCTGTTACTTGAATTACTATCCTGAGTGGTGGCAGAGATTTTTGAATAATCCAACATCAAGCTCATGAGAGCTGGCGATAGCGAGGGGAATTTCTGTTCTAGAGTCTTCATTCTCTGGAACATCTCTGTGTATGTGGTTTTATACAACTCACTTGTTCGCATCATCGTTTCGTGCAAATGAAGCTGAGTGTTAAGAATATCCTTCATTTCTTGAAACGTACTCGAGAGCAGCTGGTCTGTTGAAAAGTCCACATGTTGAAGGTGAAACATCTTCTGTGCCATATGAATTGCAAGCAGAGGTGTGTTTCTGAAACTTGTTCACTCGATAATGACGATGAAACTGATTTGAAATGTCTAATACTAAAAGGTATATGGTGGGATTGTGTAGAGCATGTAAGCACTGATTGGATGTAGAGTGATACACATGCAGTTTGGTTGGTTAATACTCTACATCAGTGGAATATTTTATTCTAACTGAGGAATGTTCGTTCGCCAGGGTTGAAATGATTTTCAGAGAGCTATGGAATGTTTAATGTATTCTGTGGAATGCTTTATTCTACTCGTGGAATGTTTGTTCACCCGTGACATCAATAGATTGAATGCTTAAGAAGCTTTAATGCCCTGTGGAATGCTTATTCATGTCTTCTGGAATGTTATTGTATTCTATTGAATGCTTTGACTCTCCTCTGGAATGTTTATTCGTTACAACGTCAATAGATTGAATGCTTTGAGTATGAATACTCTGGAATGTCTATTGTTGTGCTCAGGAATGCTATTGTGCTCATAGGGAGGTGTGCTCAGGAATGCTATTGTGCTCTGGAATGCATTGTGCTCATAGGGAGGATTAATCCTCAATCGATTGAGGATTACTGCTCTGGAATGCTATTGTTATGCTCTGGAATGCTATTGTTATGCTCTGGAATGCTTTTGTTCTCTTAGGAATGCTATTGTCTGTGCTGAACGGATTACTTTTATACTACTCAGGTGAAATAAGAAACCGATCGTATATAATCCCAAATAGACTTGCTCAAATCTTTTTGACGAATAATATGTCCAAAGAGAATTTATATTTTCCTTGAAAACAAATAATTTAACGAAATCACCTAAAGCGTCATAAACTTTCGCTCACTGTCAGATGTCTGAGCGGGTTGCATCAGAGACAAATATGACTAACGCTTAGACCCTGAGTATATTCAGTATCTAAAATTTTGATAGAAAGAATCACTGGCTATCGATACATACGATATGCCTCTATACTAGTATAGGGACATATCCTATGTATCGATAGCTTGTGTTTCAATATAACAGAGCAAAACTGTGGAATCGCAGAAAGATCTCTGTCGCGTTGTGCTCATACAAAAAACAAGCCCAAATTGTAAAAAAAAGAACCAAAGATAGACAATGCGACTATTCAATGTGTCAACGCGGCAATTTGTCACAATGTCACACTTTGAATATTTATTTTTATTGTTTTTCCAGAAAAAAACGACAATGCGATATAATGATTATGTTGCACTGTCGGGCATTTTACTTTTTTCTTACGGCACACTTGGGACAATAGGACAAAAATGCGAGAACGCTACATATTTTGACCTGGACAACTCGCGTTGTCGCATTGTCGTCCTATTGTCCGAAGTGTGTCTTAAGAAAAAAGTAAAATGCCCTTTTGTAGATGAGGTGAGGTGAAAAGGGGTTTAACGTCGTACTTGAGAATGTTTCGCTCATTATTATTATTATAGGATACTTATATAGCGCACATATCCACGCACTAGTGCATGCTCAAGGCGCTGGTAGTTTTCCCCCCTCGATCATTGGATGTGAATCTCAACGGCACATCTTAATATCAATCTCAACTCCCTGGGGAGCATACAACTTTTGCAGCCACTAGGCTTATTGCGGCTTTCCCATCCGTACGAGGTACCCATTCACAGCTGGGACTGACTGGACTGCACGTTGCTGTACCCGCAACTAGGTGTTTGCACGTATTCATCCCAGATAGCAAAGGTGTGTTGGGCCAATGTTGGTATATGGTTGGTTGGTTGGCCAACAGTTTGACAACATTGGCCCAACGTTATCTTAATGACTTAAAAGTAACGGTGGCTTTTGACACGTTGGTTCAACAGTGGGCCAACATTTGAAAAACTCTGCCTATTTTTCCTGATCTTACATCTATTTCAAAAAGTTGGGCCACCGTTGGCCCAACATTGTGAATAAAAGAGTCAGCACACGGCCATTTTTAGCAATGTTTTCTTATAAAGATTTTGATGAAAGTTGAAATAATTACACAGACAAAAAGAAAGAATCCATTTCCCTCTCTTTCAACTATGATGCAGTGAATTTTACAGCGTTGTTTTCTCCAAACTGAATACCAAACTTGTCATCAATGATAGCTTTACCTGACATTCAAAGAGCAGACGACACTACATTTCTGGAGGCCTTCAACTGGTAAATATGCATTGTTATTTCTGTGATACTGAATTGCGAATATATTGTGAAATAATTGGTTTAAATCATCATTTAGGCAAAAGAAACTGATACATACTGTATTGAAAGGCAATTGCTTGAGTAGATTAAAGATTTAATTGACTCTTTTCTTTAGGTAGCCTGTTTTAACCACTTTGATAAATCTCATTTCATTTTAAATTATTTAAATTTATTGTGTTTACTTTAATAACATTATGTGTTTGTCAGTTACACTCCTGTTTCCATATACAACTCTCTCTATTATTCATCTTTACAACCAATAATTGCTAAACATCATCATATCAGATATATGTGTCACAGTTATAGTAGTTACACGTCATATCCAAATAACACATTATTTGAACAGCATTCTAGAAGTTGGTGAGTCCAAAATGAAACATACAACTCTATGGATGACAACTTCTTGTTTATTGTATAGAACGATGTTTCGATGTAGATTCTTACACAGTTATCAAGCTAAAAGTGACTACAAGCAAATGATGAAGGTATATATACATGTACAGAGTATGTTTTGTCAAATAAACATAATTTGGAGCGGCCAGTTGGGGACTAAGAACAACAAATGGATCTAGTGATGAAACCAGCGGAACCACCTACAACATGTCTTCACGGGCCTCAACCAGTAACCCACCAACTCATAGTTTGTTTGATTTCATTTGAGACCAATGAATTGCTCACTAACACAAAATCTAAAAATTGCAAGAAAACCAAATTTTGCAGTCACATGAAACGACAGACCAATGAAGAACTAATCAAACTATAGACTCTATCAAAGCACCCTATCAGCTTGTTGTTACAACTGAATCTCCCCTGTTTATTGGCTTCATCACCATTCTATTTGTTGTTCTTAGTCCCCATCTGGCCTCTCCCAATAATGTACCAGTTGTTATTCAATTACATGTTGTTGTTAATGTCAATCTGCTGATTGTCAAAACATACTACGCATATATACTTCTCATCATTTGGTTTTAGCTTGATAACAGTGTAAGAATCTACATCCGAACGTCACTCTGTGCAATAAACAAGAAGTTTTCAATCATTAAGTTGTATGTTTCAAATAAAACATAAGGTCAAATACTATGTCCTTTTACGATAGTTCTCATGTTTAAAATTATGATATCTGTCACAGTTTCATGAAATTTTTGGGTTGTTTTTTCAGCAGCAGTTCGAAAAACCTGTCAGCGGCGACAGCCAAAAGACCTAAGACAAGAAATACAATAATGTTCAAATAACAATGAAAAAAAAGAATGAAATAGTTCACTTGATTAACTTGTTGTGTTGTTTATATATGTTTCTGATTGCAGAGGTCAGGAAAGAGCTAAATGTTGAAATACAGTTGTGCCAACATAAGCCCAACTAAATCACATCGTTGGGCCAAGTATGGGCCATGGTTTAGTACAAAGGTCAAAAAAGAGCTAAATGTTGAAACACGGTGGTGCCAACATAAGGCCAACAAAATCACTACGTTGGGCCAACTATGGGCCATGGTTTTGTGTGAATTTTCATTCGTTGGCCCAACAATCAGCCAACATGATGGGCCAACGTGGACCCGATGAGCATATCCAAGTGGGCCCATCGTCAGTTTGCCAACAATGGGCCAACCAAACTGGTGATTATGGGCCAACTATGGGCCAACATACCAATGCTATCTGGGTACTAGTCCAGACGTAAGCTGGTTTTATAGTGCTAGCTCACTGAGATACCATGCCGCAGTGAAGCATGAATACCCCACTCAGACACATCATACTGACTCCGAGCCGACCAGTCCTTATTGTACTCATTACTGCCGAGCGCCAGGCAGGGACCAACAAGTACCATATTTTAACGTCTTTTGGTATGACGCGGCCGGGGATTGAACCCGCGACCTTCCGCTCTCCTGACGGATGCTCTAACCACTATACCACGGAGGCGGCCCCCCTTTTGTAGAACAAAAAGTGTTATTCAAAGCGCAAAAAATGTATAATTCACTAACCAACACTTTACTCACTAACAGACCAGTGAGGATTCCGGGATAGAATAGGTAAGGGGAAAATAATAGATCAGGTAGTTTGACATCATTCCCCACATCCTGATGCAATGCTCATGCTGTCAGTCACTGGTTTGTCTCGACCAGACTCGAATACTTTATCACCATCGTCATATAGCTAAAATATTGCTGTTTAAAAAAAAAAGGAAAGAAAAAAGATAATAATATCAAACAAAGGGATCACCTGGAAGGAAGGTATGTCAATGTTCCCACGTGCTATTTCTAGCACGATGTATTTCATATTCTACGTGTTATGTGAAAAATTCGATTAACAAGATTTATTGTTGAACATTGTTTTCATGTTTGTAAATATGTAATAGACCCCGTGCATCATTCTCAGGAAAATCATCGGAAACTATAAATATAATATATGAAACAGTTTCCACAGATATGTTATGTGCTTTCCATGGGGTATTTATAGTCTGTGGTGTGAATACTAACCTTGCTGAAACAGATATCTGACGCCATTGAGTTATCTCCCTTTAGGAGGACCCCACCCTCAGAAAAGACAGCGGATCTTCTTCCAAAAACAAGTGTCACTGAGCGTGTTTTCAAAGACAGATTCGTGGTAAAGGTTAAAAGAGGTTGGTATGAAGTGTTCATGATCATGAATATTTTTCACACACATTTGTGGGAGACATATTGTCACTATGGACACAACACTGTTGAACACAAAGAGGGAATTGATTTGGTACAAGTGTTTAGAATTACTGTGACCGCGCCCGACCATGTACATGTAAAGTACCCTTTAATACAAGAAGAAATATCTGAATACAGCCATCAGACACTGTTACAGCTTAAACTAATCATATTTGTAATTGTTTGATATCTGTGACCTACACTGAACACATCCTGGGACAGTAGAGGACAAACCGAAAGTAAGAACCAGGAAGTGGGAACATAGGCAGTATTCTCAACGACACTAATATTTTTCTTTTCAAAACGTAACATCAAACTAGTGAAATAATGTTTGCCGTCGGCAGTCAATGCAAAACGCATAGCATTTCAAATCATATATAATATTACTTACTTGTGTATTGCTGTTGTTTGACTAGGTGTGAGTTATATTTCATAATGAGTGGTAGAATCTATGAATCAATAAATGTTAACTTTTGAAATTCGGTTCACGTGTAAAATATGGATTTCATACTTCATTTGTTCATAGCACTTTGTGCTATATGTGAGTACATTTATGCGTTAAGAAATAATGCAAATGTTTCCCATGGTCAAGTGCCTACACGTACAACAGAGCGAGCGTGGGATTTTAGTTTTACGCCGCTTTTAGCAATATTCCAGCAATATCACGACGGGGGACACCAGAATGGGCTTCACACATTGTACCCATGTGGGGAGTAGAACCCGGGTCTTCGGTGTGACGAGCAAACGCTTTAACCACTAGGCTACCCCACCTGCCCGGGCACAACAGAACATAAGTGACATTTATGTAAAGTAATCATATTTAACTTCTTTGTAACCGTGTGCATTTATGTAATGACTGTCGTTCTCATCGGGATGCTGGGATCAATTTTCATTAACATGTTGTCGACAGCTGAAAATATTTATATAAACATAAAATGGAAATTATCTTTTATGTATCTCTTCGCCAGACGAATTCCATTTTATCTGTTTCGTTTTATCATCTTTTGATATTGCTTTGGTTGGTTGGTTGGTGTTGTCCTATTATTGAATAGCTGTAACGCTTCCTTTTGTTGTGTTTATTGTTTAACGCCTCACTCAGCAATATTCCAGCTATATGGCGGCGGTCTGTAAATAATCGAGTCTGGACCAGACAATCCAGTGATCAACATCATGAGCATCTATCTACACACCTGGGATGCGATGACATGTGTCAACCAAGTCAGCGAGTTAAATATTGCAAAATAGAAATGTCAAATGAAATAATTTCTTTCCGTTTCAAATTAACTGAAAGAATCTTGTCCTCAGGTGTATCTGCTGTCTCTATATCTTTATCTCGACTTTCACATGTCGGTGTTATGTTTCACACAACAACGGGCACTGTTCGACTGAACATTGTTCGACCCAAAATATCGAGACGTGCTTTAACCATTTCCTGGAAACTGTCAACACAATGTATTGTTACCTGATGTGTCCAAATACAGCACTTTGAGAACCAGTTCTTGTTTTAAATCGGATATACCGAAGTTTTCCGTGTTTCATGTCATCAGACAGTGTGCCATGTTTATTGGAAGATGTAGGCCTGGAAGGGTTGCTATAAGCGATACATAATATATAATGTAAGATGGATAACGCTCACCAAGTTTTCTGAATACAGAATGTCGGAACCACAAGAGAAGGTTGACATAAGTGCCCTCAAAGACACATTCCTGGAATGCCCCGTGTGTGTGGAACATTTCAACCAGACAGACCGCCGTCCTCGTCTCCTCCACTCCTGCCTCCATGCCTTCTGCACACAGTGTCTTCAGCAGCTTCTTGACAAGGAGGGGAAAGGTCAGATCACATGTCCGCTATGTCGTCAAGTCCACAAGATCCCAGGAGAGCCTGGCACTTTGCCTGTGGATCCGGTCAGAGCAAAACTTGTAGATTTTGTGCAGATCAAAAACGAAGGAAAAGCTCCATGCACAGACTGCCCCGCAGGAAGCCCAGCAGAGTCAAGGTGCCAGGAGTGTTCTGTATATCTGTGTAAGGAATGCGCATGTGTACACAGACGTCATCGACTGACTCATGACCATCCCGTCATATCCCTGAGTGGAGTGCTAGAACAGCCTCTGAACACATTCGCCCAGGGTCACTTCTGCACTCATCATCCAAAACACCAGCTGGAGTTCTTTTGTGCTAGTGATGAAACGCTGTGTTGCCTTTCTTGCACAGCTGTGGAACATAAGGGCCACGACTTCCAGAAACTAGATGAAGCAGCTAAGAAACGACAAACGGAATTGGAAGCATCGATGCTGGCCGTCAACGTAAATGTCCAACAACTGCGTCAGAGGCGACTGTCTGAAGAAAGACGTCAAACTGCTATCGCGGAGGCCCAGGCAAAGGCCAAATCCGATGTGAACACACACTTTACAAGACTGATACGCATAATCAATGAAAGAAAGTCACATCTGGTCCGGGATATCGACGAAAGAAGTAGTACAATGTTGTCTCTGTCTAAGAAAGAAGTAGAAGCGATAGACCAAACTCTTGCTGTTGCGGAGTCAACTGAAACGTACTTCACTCAAGCCAAGGAGAAGGCTGGTGTTGTGGAAATTCTTCAGATGTATCCTGCCATCAAGAGAAGTTTGGATGCAGCAGCCGATGGGCAAGGTCGACAAACGGCACCGGAAGTTGTGATGACATTTACTCTCACAAATGGAAATATTGTCGAAAAATTGGGATCAGAAGTAGGTTGCGTGAGCGAGTCTACTGAGACTCAGAAAGGTAGGCGCACACATCTTTCCTTGGACTAACGAGGCAAACGTATTTGCCTATGTCAATGGTTTCAATACTTCTCCATAACTGTTACATGTTAAGTTTGTAAATAGAAATGCGAACAATCTCTTTCTTCTGTTGAAAAATGTTAGCACTAGCAACATCTAATGTAACCGTACCTGATGATCTAAACAAGTGTGAATGTATTAAGCGGGTCTATAACAGATACCTGCCTTTGAAACTCATGTAACCATGTGTAATATATTTTCAATCGTTTGTTCGTGTCGATGATTACTATAATAATGTTTTGTAATGATATTACCGTGTACCACTAAAGCAGAAGGTCGGGGTACAATTCTCAGGCCAAATCATACCAATAGACGTTAATAGATGGAACTTGTTGTTGCCTTGCCTCGAGAAGATAAAACAAGAACTCGTCTGCTTGGAATCTGTAAGCTGTGTTTGAAATTGGATTCATGCACGTCGCAGTCTTAGTACAATGATCTTGAAAGTGACATTTTTGTACATCATGCTAATTGCCTATTTTCAGAAAATGATCAACTTCTACTGTCTTTAGATGAAGTATTTGATGCTGCTTTGAAATACAAAAGCAAGAAGAAACTTATGAAACATTGTGAAGAGAAGTCTTACTCCAATGAAAGAGAAACGTGCGCTATCTGTGAGAATCATATCGAAGATGCAAAGAGGATACGGTGCGGGCACCGTTTCTGTAAGGGCTGCATTGACCAGGTGCTCAGTAGGCAACCAAATTGCCCTGTGTGTTGCAAAGTTCGATATCCGGTTTCATCGTTTTCCGAACTTGTAAGTAGGGAACTGACGCATTGTAAATCAGTAACATTTCTTCTGAACCCAAAACAAACAAAACATGAAATGTTGTAACCAGTGGTCACCTGAGTTTCTGTTCAGTATGAATACGCTTTTCCGTCGGCAGTCAATGCAAAACGCATAGCATTTCAAATCATATACAATATTACTTACTTGTGTATTGCTGTTGTTTGACTAGGTGTGTGTTATATTTCATAATGAGTGGTAGAATCTATGAATCAATAAATGTTAACTTTTAAAATTCGGTTCACGTGTAAAAAATGGATTTCATACTTCATTTATTCATAGTACTTTGTGCTATATGTGAGTACATTTATGCGTTAAGAAATAATGCAAATGTTTCCCATGGTCAAGTGCCTACACATACAATAGAGCGAGCGTGGGATTTTAGTTTTAGCAATATTCCAGCAATATCATGTTGGGGGACACAAGAAATGGGCTTCACACATTGTACCCATGTGGGGAATCGAACTCGGGTCTTCGGCGTGACGAGCGGACGCTTTAACCACTAGGCGACCCCACCACCCGATCAGGAGGTGAAATTTCTCTTATTGTAAGCTGATTATTACAGATATAGGTAGTGAGTGAGTTAAGTTTTACGCCGCAATATTCCAGCTATATGGCGGCGGTCTGTCAATAATCGAGTCTGGACCAGACAATCCCGTGATCAACAGCATGATCATCGATCTGCGTAATTGGGAACCGATGACATGTGTCAACAAAGTCAACGAGCCTGACCACTCGATCCTGTTAGTCGCCTCTTACGAGAAGAATGGTTTACTGGAGATCAATATTCTAACCCGGACCTTTACGTGTCACAGATCTCAGTAACACTGACAGATCATGATTGGTAGACTTGCGACAGAGCATTCGAAATATTGACTTAACGTAACTAGAGCATAATGCAAGTACAGAAACATTCACATTCGGACAGGCTTGATGAGTCATGTAATACCCGTACTCACAGTTTACTATTAAGACGCTCCTAGTTCAAAGGAAAATATTGGAACATAACTTCAGTCATGTTCTATTATGTATGTAGAAACTAAGATTCAAGAGAAATGATTTTCTTATTTTCTCTTGCAACCTAAGTATGTATGATATTAAAAAGAAATACTTTAGAAAGGCTCTTCCTCAGCTATGTTTGCGTCGAAAGTCGTCAAAAGGCCCCGCACATTCCTGCAAGTTGAACACCGTTCGTGCAAACATTGCATGACATGGTGTAATAAAGAATTTATTGTAGCAATTGGACCCATGTGTGACGTTTCCCACTATGTTCCGTATTTATCTTTGTTAAACGGCTCCTCTGTAATGCTTAACAATATGTTTCATTTTAATGCTAAGGATGTGTAAATAACCTTCACCCAGCAATTAACTGTATTGTCCTGGCCATGCTGCTTTGACCGTCGTTTATCGAGTACTTTGCTGACACGCCTTGATATGACTGAAATACTGATGTGTTTTTAGTATAATTGAACCGTTCTTGCTCAATCACCTTTTCCATCCAGAATGTTTTTGTTTTGGCGTTCACAGTTGCCTTCCAATTGTTTACCTTTTGCCCTGGAGACTCAGTAGTTTGTTTAATGTATTCGCTAAGTTTAATCAAGTAAACGAAGTGTAAATAGACATCATTGAAACATCAGTTTGTCTAAATCCTAACCCATTGCCTGAAGGATGGTGGTTAGTGCAACATCATGCAAGAATGACAATGTTTCCACGTAATAGGACTGTTTAACAAATAACCAAATACAAGAAACATATATTAACATGTTCTGCTGGTTCACGAAATCCCTAGTTATTATAATTATATCATAATGGTATGTGTGCGATTGAGTTGCAGGGGGACGACTATTATGGCGACGAACAGCATCGGGCAAGTTTTATAGTACGATTGCTTCAATGTATTCTCATTTAACAGGATGTGTTAGTTAGACTTTCACCTTTAATGACAGATGTTACAGAAAACCACTTATTTATTTCTTCTACCGTTGTCTCACGAATATGTGTCATTGTCGTCAAAAGGAGTCACTGATTCCTACAAAATGAACATGAACACCGTTTATGCAAGCTGTGCATGACATGGTGTAATTAAAACTTCATTTTATCATTCGGACCTATCGTGTGATGTTTCTTTTATGTTCAATATTTATCTTTATTTAACGTCTCCTATGCAATGCGAAATAATATAGACGTTTGGCGTTCACAGTTGCCTGCCAAATATTTACTGTTTGCCCGGAGACTCGGTAGTTTGTGTAATGTATTCGCTAAGTTTGGTCAAGTATCCAAGTGTAAATAGAGATCATTGGAACATCAGTTTGTCTAAATGCTTACCCGATGCCTGAAAGATGGTGGTTAGTGCAACATCAGTCATGCAAGAATGACAATGTTTCCACGTAATAGGACTGTTTAACAAAAAAAAAAAAACTACAAGAAACATATTTAACATGTGTTTTCCATAAGGGACAAAAATAATTATGCGTAATTATACTTGATGTCAACATACGTTGCACGAGGTTGTGATATGCAGTATATGGACTAAATAAGTTACTGTTGGTTATCTAATTATTCCCACTAGTTATTAAAATACAGAACGGCACGCCTGCGATTGTGTTGCAGTTTTGGCATGCACCTCCACACGAAGGTAGTAAAGGAGAATACTAAGAATTGTTTGCTGATAATATTTCTGCTGTTTCTGGCACTTGTTAATTACTCCAAAAGAAGTTCGATTTTTTGGAAAGGTTTTGTAATGGTAAGGGGAATAAAACAAAATTGGAATAAGACAAAAACTATTGTCTTTAGAAATTGTGGAACGCATGCCGATATGAGAAATGGCATTATAATGGTAATCCTTTTCAAACTTTAATTTCTTGTATTCATCTAGGTGCTGACTTGTGTTCACTATTGTTTGTTGATAATATTACTGCTGTTTCTGACACTCCTAATTTACTCCAGAAGAAACTAAATGTTCTGGGAAACGTTTGTAATGATAAGTCAACATACGCACCATGAGGTTATGATATGCAGTATATAAGATATAGAAGTAGCAGCTGGTTCTCGAAATCCCTAGTTATTATAACACATAGTGGCAGGTATGCCATTGTGTTGCAGGGGGACCCTAACGATGACTACGAACAGTATCAGGCAAGTTTTATAGTACTATTGCTTCAGTGTATTCTCATTTAACAGCATGTGTTAGTTAGACTTTCACCTTTAATGACAGATGTTACAGAAAATCAATTATTTCTTGTACCACTCTCTCACCTAGAAAAAGAGAAGTTATTATCCACAAAACTGGCTATGATAGTACTCCCCAACTTCTGAAAAAACCTCCCCAAAGAAGCCTTTCAGCTTGTTTAACTTGTTCTGCTGGTATTCACCGGGACTACATTTCAAGTCCACGGATGTTTCTCATATTCTTTAGTAAGCTTTATAAGAAAATGGAAAAAAGAGGTGTGAGAAGGAAGTTTCATAAATCAGTTCTTTACTAATTTGTGTACAGTGATGTTTGCTGATAATATTTCTGCTGTTTGTCACAACTGTATTGTAATTTTGTAAAAAAAATGAACTTTAATAATGCTAACAGGAATGAAAGTAAATTGGAATAAGAGAACAATTGCTGTCTTTAAAAATGTGACCAACATGCTGATGAAATGGTATTGTAATGGTAGCCCTGGTCAAACTTTCCCATTCAAACAGGATTTGAATAGATAAATTATATAATACCCTTATGACCGTACTTAAAGTTTATTTGTATTGGACGCCTGCTAGTTCAAAGGAACATTTTGGAACATCATTTCAATCGTGTCCAAATGTCTATGCAGAAACTGAGATACAACTGAAAAATTGCATTTCTGTAATATGTCGGAGAGGGGTGTGAAAAAGTAATACCCAGGAAAGGATATTCCTCCAGTATATATGTGTCATTGTCGTCAAAAGGAGTCACTGATTCCTACAAAATGAACACCGTTTATGCAAGCTGTGCATGACATGGTGTAATTAAAACTTCATTTTATCATTCGGACCTATCGTGTGATGTTTCTTTTATGTTCAATATTTATCTTTATTTAACGTCTCCTATGCAATGCGAAATAATATAGACGTTTGGCGTTCACAGTTGCCTGCCAAATATTTACTGTTTGCCCGGAGACTCGGTAGTTTGTGTAATGTATTCGCTAAGTTTGGTCAAGTATCCAAGTGTAAATAGAGATCATTGGAACATCAGTTTGTCTAAATGCTTACCCGATGCCTGAAAGATGGTGGTTAGTGCAACATCAGTCATACAAGAATGACAATGTTTCCACGTAATAGGACTGTTTAACACACACAAAAACAACTACAAGAAACATATTTAACATGTGTTTTCCATAAGGGACAAAAATAATTATGCGTAATTATACTTGATGTCAACATACGTTGCACGAGGTTGTGATATGCAGTATATGGACTAAATAAGTTGCTGTTGGTTATCTAATTATTCTCACTAGTTATTAAAATACAGAACGGCACGCCTGCGATTGTGTTGCAGTTTTGGCATGCACCTCCACACGAAGGTAGTAAAGGAGAATACTAAGAATTGTTTGCTGATAATATTTCTGCTGTTTCTGGCACTTGTTAATTACTCCAAAAGAAGTTCGATTTTCTGGAAAGGTTTTGTAATGGTAAGGGGAATAAAAAAATTGGAATAAGACAAAAACTATTGTCTTTAGAAATTGTGGAACGCATGCCGATATGAGAAATGGCATTATAATGGTAATCCTTTTCAAACTTTAATTTCTTGTATTCATCTAGGTGCTGACTTGTGTTCACTATTGTTTGTTGATAATATTACTGCTGTTTCTGACACTCCTAATTTACTCCAGAAGAAACTAAATGTTCTGGGAAACGTTTGTAATGATAAGTCAACATACGCACCATGAGGTTATGATATGCAGTATATAAGATATAGAAGTAGCAGCTGGTTCTCGAAATCCCTAGTTATTATAACACATAATGGTAGGTATGCCATTGTGTTGCAGGTGGACCCTGACGACTGTGATGATGACAAACAGTATCAGGTACTAAGTATTCTTTTATAGTAGACTTTACCTTTAATGACAGATGATGATAGTTAATTTGACCAGTAGAAACACGTCATTATTGCTACACCAGGCTATTTTAGAAATGAAGTTAAGTCTAAAGAGCATGCTTGTTACGGCGGAGGGAGACGACTTGTAATCCAGCATGTATTCATAATTAATTGTTTAATGACCATAGTCAAGCAAGGAGACAGGGTATGTTTTGAAGCAGAATGACAGTCTGTATTATCAGATCCGACAAAGGTCGTGAATTTGATAACAAGAAATTTTAGATCATATTTAGCCAACAAGGGTATTACCTACTTTGTAACTCAGAATGAAACCAAAGCATCTTATGCCGAGAGAGTCATACGAACCCTTAAGGCGATTATGTACAGATACTTTACTTACAAACAATCATACCATTATATTGATGTTTTGCAAGACTTGGTGAAAGATTATAACCAGAGACCTCATAGGTCGCTGAATGAACGTTCACCCATTGATATCAACGCAAACAATGAATCTGTTGTTTGGAATGAACAGTACATTGATCCACTGCACAAACAAGTCAAATCCAAAGCAGAGAAGATGAATGAAAGAAGACGGAAAGCCTTTAAATTCAAAGTAGGGGATCAGGTGCGACTGTCACATTTGAGACATGTCTTTCAACGTGACTATCAGGAGAAATGACGGAGGGAATCTTTATTGTTAGCAGACGATACTACAGGGATGGGATACCAGTCTATAAAGTCAAGGACATGGCTGAGGATCCAATCACAGGTACTTTTTATGCGAATGAACTTCAGAAAGCCTATAAGTCTGCAGACACCATGTGGCGTGTTGAGAAAGTCTTGAAGAAGAGGAAGAGAGCTGGTAGAAAAGAGGTGTATGTTAAATGGATGGGCTACCCAAAGAAATTTAACAGCTGGATCCCAGAGCAGGACCTCCAGGGTGTATAAAAAAGGATCAACCCGGTATTTCTTTTCATTTGATGTCTGACGCACCATGGATTCAGCATCCTGTCCTGATTGTGGTAAAGGATTTTCAAGAAGAGATGCAATGTATCGTCACAGGAGGAATGCACACAAAACCAATCCCACTGAAGGTTATTCACCACTACCTGTAGCAAAGGCACAACCACCTACACCACCAGTAGCATCTTTACCACCACAACCACCACCACCACCAGTAGCATCTTTACCACCACCACCACCAGTAGCATCTTTACCACAACCACCACCACCACCAGTAGCATCTTTACCACCACCACAACCACCACCACCACCACACTATGTTCAAAAGCAATTCAGTTTTACCATCCCCTCTAATGCAATTATAGTCGGTCCATCAGGGAGCGGGAAGTCTAATTTTGTCTATAACCTTCTGAAGCAGAGTTGTATACAGCCAGCACCAAATCGCATTATCTGGTGTTATATTCAATGGCAACCTCTATACCAATTTATCAGTGAAGCATTTCCACAAGTTAATTTTGTGAAAGGAATACCATACAATGTACTTGGTGATACCTACTTTGATGCAAGAAATAATAACATGATTGTGTTGGATGACTTAATGTCTGAGGCCAAGGATGACAAACGCATCTCACAGCTGTTTACAAGAACTTCTCATCACAAAAATGTCATCATATTCTTACTGTTACAGAACTTATTTCCGCGGGGCAAAGAGTCACGTGACATTGCTCTGAATTCTCACTATGTGACCCTTTTTAATTCCCCAGTGGATAGACTTCAGGTCCAATTGTTTGCTAGACGTATTTATCCCAATAATTCTGAAAGGTTCATGAATGTGTATCAGACAGCTGTTCAAAACCTTATTGCAATCTGACACTTGACCTACGACCCACTACCCTTGAATCAGAACGATTACAGCCAAATATACTCTCAAAAAGTGACAGAGGACCATCTCAAATGATTACAAAAGGACCGCCAGTATCAAGACAGTTTGAGACTTTCAGCAAGAGTATAAAAGAGGAGCCAAATGAGTCCTTGAATCAGTTGTCAGCAGACACTCAAAAGGTGAACATCTCTGACCCTGTTGATACTGACAGCCTTGAAGACAACCTTGAAGACGAGAGCATGCCCTCCTGTGACGAGTGTGGGATTGTATTTGAGAACAATCATGACCTCCAGCGTCATGTAAGAACTTGGTGTCCTGAGAATGATGGTGAACCGTTAAGGAAACGGACTAAAACTGAATCCCTCAATGAAAGCAAAGATGACATCCTACGTCCTATTGAAACATCTAAAGCCACTGGCATTGACAAAGAGAGAGAAGTGAAAGGTATTGAATATATGTGGGATCAGACCCTGAAAACCTGTAAGGGGGACATCTTGAGAAAGAAGGATGAATACGAAGATAAAGGCAAGAGTGAGAGATGGATTTGAGAACAAACTGAAGAAGTGTTGGGAACAGACATTCTTGGAAAGACTTGTAAGAGCCATCAGGTTCGCCAGCTATTTTGGTTATGGACCACTCTTCAAGCCTATTTTTGAGAAAGTGAGAGCTCTGGACCCTGACATGGATCATGCAGACATGGATGCTAAAATCGGTCAGTGGATGAAACCAATAGTGAAGGACATCCTCTCCAAGGTGGACATATCCATGGCTGAAGATATAGAACTTGATGAACAATTTTACAATGAACCTTCAGATGATGAACTTTGATAATTCATGAAAAAACACTTGTGGTTGTATATGACACATATGTAAACTGAATATCTAATCACTAACAAGAATGTATTTATGTATATGTATGTTTGTATGTATCCCTTCTTTGTGTTGATGTCTTTATGTAATAAAATGTGTAAATAACAGTGCATGGTTGTTGTTTTGTTTTGTTTATTTATTTATTTATTTGAACCTTTGTGATCCATACTCAACCAACTTTAAATTAAGATGAGTTGTTCTTAAGCATTTACAATTACATGATTTGTCTACTATACCAAAAGTCAGTTTTTCATATATGGAAACCTACGCTAGAAGTAGCAAACCTTGGATGCTATTACACTGATTATTTTGCTAAGCTATAACAACACTCATAAAGAATAACACAATTCTAAGTATAAGTTAAGATATTTATTTCATGATCACACAAACATAATATGATAATCACAAAATGAATCCAAACAAGCCGACCATGCAAGTTAATAGAAATAACATCTGTACAAATTTTATAATATAAATGAGTGTATATAATGGTGTACCAAATACAAATTGAAAAGTATAAACTTAAAACCATGTTCACATTTACATAGTTAGCTGACTGCAGACATGGACGTTTAGCTGCAGGCCCTGATGAAGTTTGTTTTCTCTTCAAAGTGGACTGCTGACATCTGTGGCCTTGAAATGCATCGAGGCGAGAAAAGGACTTCTTACACTGCTCACATTGAAATCTCTGGTTATCATGTACGGTGCGAACATGACACAAAAGGGATTTATTCTGTGTAAATTTTCGATTACACAGATGACAATGGTGTTTAGTTTGAAGTGTGGAATGTGTAGGTTGTGGCTGAGTACACTGTTCTGGCGTTTTCATACTTCGGGTGGCTAACAGTTCAATGCGTTTTAGGTTTACTTCGGGATCATTTGTGCAGTGGTGATTTGAAGCCCATATTTCCAGGTCTTGTAGGGATTTCACATTGTTGAGGAAATCTCGCTTTTGCTCCATCTAAAAGGAATGTGAAACTTAATTTATAAAAATGTTCACTTTTCTCAAAACAATATTATGTAAGTAATAATACATTTACTAATATAGAAATTATATTATTATAGTACTAAGTGATGTACATATTTAAATATTATAATATATATGTGAACTCTTACTTTGAATATGAAATTGAAACTATTCGAAAGAAATAGAGACTCTTACCTTTAATTGACAGGTATCAGTTGTTTCTGTGAGAAAGCTGTTCAAAAACATCCGAATTTGTCAGCTGTAGGTTGTAGAATTAAATTTTTATCTTATGCAAGCCTTTTTGTCGTCATAGTAATGGGTGAGTTCATTTTATGCAATGTCATCAGTTAATATGCACACAACATGTGTTATATATATTTATCTTATAGTACCATATCTTACAGAAAAAAGGAAGCAGTATTTTACCCCCTCCCCTTAACAATGAAATCGCCATGCCTAGTTCAAACCAGTCTCACCATGTCTAACCTGTCCAAACCTAACAATCACTCATCAATTCAAATTACTATCATGGCATACTTTAGTTTAGCTACCTTAAAATGGAATAATAGTGTATAATAAACGTTCATTTTTAACTAATTGTATCCCTCATGTAAATGTTGATGCTCTATAGGTTTCATAGACTCGCTTTATGCACTCTATGATATAAAATAATCAACACCTGGCTGAGATTTATGTTGTAATTCCCTTTGGTCTAAAACGACTATGGGCTGGAAATGAGGCGGGAGAGATATGTAGTACTGATCCCATTTCACAGCACCCTCTATAGCCATAGGCATAGTTACATGAGTGTTCACGCGGATACACTGTACATAATACATCAGGCATTGAGGATGACCTATATAGTGTAACCCTCAGACAGCAAGCTTGTATTATTTTCACCTTCAGCTATCCCTAAGCGAAAACATGATATCTCCCTGAATAGCAAGTCTAGATCCTAGAAAAGGCTCCTTATCAATATTGAAAGAAAATTATATATTTTGTGGTATATAACTTATTATAAGTGATGTCAACAGATAATTGATATAAATGAAATCATAAAGATACACTGATTTTCCTTTTTAAATATCAGAGAAATATTATAAACTTTTTGCATTATTCAACACTTTCTCAGTGTATGATTATGTTATAAGTTAGATACGTATAAAACCTTATGTCCTTACCTTATTTCTAATATGAAGTACATTTGCTTAACTAGTCATACTAATAACATATTTCAAACATCTAGATATACTTTCCTTATAATGTAAAAGTTTTAAGTAATCTATCTAACACTAATGAGTGAGTCACGTCATAATGAGAGTTCCCTTAGAAACTGAGAGCT